AGGTAGGGTATAGCTCCTTTACTAGTTTCATCATCCATGATTAACAACCAAAGTGGAACCAAGAAATGGGTTTCTCTTCAAGCTACTCCCTGAGTTATCTGAGGTAGGCCTTTTTCGGAGGCGTTGTATATGTCCCCATGACGGTGGCACAGAGCTCCATTGATGCTACTCATGCCAACGCTCACTCCAGTGTATCGACCCACTTCCAGAGTCATGTGTTTGACGGTGAATCTTGAGGGGTTAACTGAGGGATGTTTTAGTTGAAGATGACATGCTATGGTGAGGAAAAGTTCTGGGAGACTTCAAAGTTGTGGCGACAAGCGAATTGTTTGATCATCTTTTTAGCCTTCCGGTCCATTGTAAGCTTACGCTAAAGCTAACTCGAATGATAGATAGTAAAACACCTTCAAAAGTCACTCATTTGTTGGAGTTCCGCCAGGACTGAAAGTATATCCACCTTCACCTACCGATTTTTCACACAAAACAGTAGTCACAGATGGATGCGTAACTCACAATTTAGAAGTGAAGGACTTAGGCTTCGTCTCATTGAACAATTTGTTGGCATCCCTCCACTCTCCTTTATACAGGAAGCACAGTTTTCGTTGACCCAACGGTTTCCAGTGTCTTGCCAGCTTAACCATCCGGACGGCGTTCAACAGACCGCTTCCATAGGTGTGACTCACCTGAAAGGGAACCGCAAGAGGGAGATTATAAAAAGCTGATGAAGTGACAGCTAAAATAATAAAAGTGGCTGCTCAACACACCAACAATCCACCACCATTAATGCTGAAGTCCACGGCACTGGGGGAGGGGATTCGACCACTCAGAGCCAGCAATGCGCTCACGTCACGTGGAGTGAGATTTGGACTGAAATGCGTAGATACTACTTATTTGATGACAACTCAATGTCTTTGGAATATTTAACGCAAGTGGTGAAATGTGCTTGATTAGTAATATGAAATAAAACTGACCGAAAAGTGTTTTAAATCTTTTTCCATAAAAAAGGTGGAAAACTTACTTGGCTTCCATAGCTAAAGCGATTACACCCGCAGCTATGGGATTTGAGGCGGAGGTCCCAACAAAGCTGCCAGTGCACAGGTTGTTGATTTTTGTGGTGTACTAAAGGAAAACACAACGAAATTATGCTCTGCGTACCCTGTGGTTCCCGCTTTTTCGCTCACTGTCTGCCTTCGTGTCATAAAGTTCTACCGAGGCTTAGAGCTTCACAATCTCTCTACACTTAAAAAAAGCCCGCTGACTGTGCCCACATTTTTTCTTTCTACTTTAAAAGGAAGTCAGCATCTAGTATGGTCTGGCAGGGAGATGGCAAATGTTAACTCTAAAGAGACTCAGAAAAGAACAGCTAAAACGGTGTTGATGTCATACCAGGTACTTCCACTTGTAGAGGACACGGTCCCCCTCCATTCATTTCTTTTCTAAGCAAAGGACTACTGGTGAATGGAACGTGCTTACTGTGGAGAGCACAGCCCATTGCCTAGATAAATCGCACCTCAACGCTACGCTCGCTAATCTTAAACAAAACTGCAATATATGCTACTAATAAAGGGGCAAGTAGCATGCGCTGTATCGTCTTCACTCCTGATCAAAGATTGGCTACTCCGCCTCAGGCAGACCTGTTACAACCCAAACAGAAGGATGATCGTAAGGAGCAGCCAAGACAACGCTCAAAAGATGAGTCTATGTCCAAGTTGATCGTATATCTACTTACGTGAACCAGTATGTATCATGAACTACGTGCACAGGTATCCTGCCATCAAAATCACAATACAAATTGCATCTGATGATTTGAACCAATCTTTTGAAGGTAACAAAGTTTGCTTTTAAAAGTTAGCCTTTAAAATGCAAAAAAAGTACCATTTTGATGTCCCTTTTAAAAAACAACATTATTCGGTTACTGATCACTGTTTACCAACTAACAACTTTGACATAAAAAACTGACGTAATATGAATGTCGCATGAGCCCAATCTTTTATTTAACAGTGCTTTTACAACCTCATATGGTGAAATATTCTTCCTTTTTGAATACAAATTATAAAGTATATTGTAATTCAGTGGCCATAAAAAGCTGAAAAAGATAACCGAGGCGGAGTGGATCGCGAGGGTCACTGTATGCATAAATTCCACTTAACTTGCACATAAATTTTGCTAGAAAAATTTCCCATTGTGTCCGAAACTTTAATGTCCTCGGTGCAGTTGAATCTGAAACTACACAACACCTATTCCATAAAAGTCGAGTTTCGTACTTTCCGGGTATTTTAGCCATTTACTATTAAAATTATTCTTTCCACAATGAAGGAAGTTCTTTGGTGTGCAAAACATGAAGTAAAAATTGCTTTTATATATAGTTGAACAAGAGTTAATTACCACGAAGAGTTTTTGAGTATTAAGTTGAAACTTGAATGTCAGTCTGTCCTGAGCGCCCCCGACCGGCACGGCAACCGCCACCGCAGAACAGGCTTCACTGTAAACAGGCGGCAAACCGTTTTCACTCACCGCGCTGACAGCGATCACGTTGGGGTGATTGACGAACCCATCAGCACCACAGTTGTCTCCCATGGCACCGCCATTACCCGCGGGGAAGACGAACACCGAGCCGCGGCCGTGGTTGCCCTGAAGGTGCGAATCGCGACTGAGTGGATGGAAGACGAGACTTAAGGTGTGATGCAACACCCGTCTCTGAGGAGCTAATCATCACAGTCTGAGTGATGCGCTCTACTACCACAAAGAAATGTCCTTTACACTTGTCAAGGTAAAATTTAAGCTGGCATGTCGCAAATCGGGCGGACTCGAATGGTTTTTGCTTATTGACAGGCTTAAAAAGGGAACAAAAGAGAGGAAATGAAATCAAACAAACTACAATAAGGTGTTGCGAGGAGATAAACCGAAACCGCTGCAAACTCTTTAACTGTGTGATAGCTTACTGAGCACTTGAAACAGTTTGATGTCACTTTTTTGAAAGGAGATCTTTTCTGCTGTTAGGAAAGTGGTCAGAAGCCGGCGTGTGGCCTCTACGAATGGTGGTGATGAAGTGCTCCAAATCCTGTCAAGGTTTCTAGTCCCTCAGAGGCCTTTTGCAGGGCTCAAAATCGACGTCATCAAGGGTTGCTCGACCCCTTTTAGTCTCGTGATGTGTCAACGTTAATTACTGTCCCTAACCTATTAGAGCGGGAGGGAGGAAGGTGTCTTCTTTAGGAATTGAGGTACTAAATTCGCAAAGATGCGTCGAGAGCGGTAAGACCATCTCTCTGACTGCCCTTTTTGACGTTGGGGTCCGAGCAAATGGTGAGCGAGCAGGACCTGTAGCTCGAAAGGCAGGCAGTCCCCAATACAGCATGGATATCTACCAACCCACTCCACGCTTCCAAGTTACTTATCACTGCATCCATACAATGCTAGCTGAAAACAGCCCGATCACGAATGAGACGTCTCCCCTAGATACCACTTGTCTGCTTGAAGAACAGTCAGAACCAATCAATCAGTCGGAATCAAGTTAACATGAACGTTGCAAAGGAAAGAGGGAAGGACATTTCCTCATCTCCATCCACCACATCTGCGGAGATTCTCTCAAGCTCCAAGCTACCATCTTATTCTTCACTCAGACCACCATATGGAGAGAAAACAGTATAGAAATTGAACTGTAATGGAGTCAGAAACAAACAGCAGACAGGAGATATCTCACAAGTTCATCAAGAAGCTGCAGTTCCCTTCTCCCCTCGTGATGAAGGTCCACCAAGTGACTGTGTCTTTATTAGGAAGTGCCAAGAAAAAGGCGACACTTCATCTTAGTTCCGTAAACAAGTATGCAGGGCTTCATTCAGTCTTTCAAACATGCACTACCCTCCTACCGGTTCTTACAGCTCTCCTAGCTTTAATAAAAGCAACAAAAAGTGACGTTTTATCGTTTTTCGTTGTCATAAAGTGAGGCAAATCCAGCTGTCTTAGCTACAACACCTCAGATGCTTCTACTACCTCCTCCTTTTTTCCACCAAGGGTACAATAATTAAGACACCGACGAAGAGTCGAATCTGCTTCAAAGAGTTAAATTTCTATATTATTATCACACAACTAAGGTTTCTTGGCAGAAAATGTAGCAACGTTCCAACTCTGTAGCTAGTGGAGACATATGCCAATCGATTTGGCAGATTATTGTAGGGGACTCAAAGAGGACGGTGAAGGGAGGGGAAGGAAGAGGACGAAGAAATGGAAAAAGGAAAAGGAGTGAGCCCTTCCTATCATCAATGCCAAATAATATGAGCAACGCATCACAGGCATGCACTTGAGTGATACCTGTTTACTGAAAGACAGGAGATTCGCTTACCGAACCTTGCCTCTCACTCACACACCCTCTCCACAAATCACAGTTATGCACACATGTGCAAGGATGGATGCGATTGCTAAGGTTAACACATACGCTACAGAACAAACCGTGTGAGTAATTCACCACATGCGTAAAGTCAGAGATAGAAGCACAGAACTCACCTTCTCCCCCCTCTAAGCAGAAAATGAACCCGTATTCTGAAGGTGCTTCAACTTTACGAGTCTTTGAAATTGTCGCGTGTTGACAAAAAACAAGGTAAAATCTTAAAATCGAAACATTTTTTGAGAAGGAAAAGGGAAGAAGGTGCATAAATTTATAGTGATGAGAGTTGCCCAAATCTGATTGGTTTTCCCACTGGCGGGAAAATTGATTTGTGACCCCCGATAGCCGATACTGATTGGTGCAAAAAAAATGGAATAGTTCCTTGTTTTTTAGCATATCATTCACAAAAGTATTTTATAAAAGGGAGAAAAAAACTCACCTTAGTACCGGACTCCTTCAGTGCCGAGTTCATGTATTTCCCAGGAGAGCGCAATGTCCTACCATCATCAGTGGGACCCCAGGAGGAGATGTAGATGTTGGCCACGTCCGAGAAAAGTGTTAAAGCCTCCCCAACCATAAAATCTGTAACTCTGTTTCCGAGTAGACGAACTCCTAAAAACCCCACCCCCCACGAAAAAGGCTCTTAACCAGTTAAAAAGGATTGTTTAGTCAGTCGCCGAGCAGCAAATGTGAACTTTGCCTCGTCTCCAAGTTCATCTTTGATCACAATCAGCTTTGGACGTTTTAAGAAAACTACTAAATCTATACGTAGCGCTTTAGGCAGCAGAAATCATCGACGACTGATACAAGGTAGTGACCTAACACGGAGTTTGTCCCTTAAGTTAATCGGACGCAGCCTAGCAATGCTTGATCTTCGCATCCAAAATTCCACACGTCGGTAATCGACACATTTTAGAGTTCAGCTGCATTAGGCGTCAACTTGTAACGTTGTGTGAGAAGTTAAATAAATGAAGGAATTAAATGGGCGTAGAAAGATACACAACATTCGCCAGTTTGGTTACATATTGAGGTCCTGGGATATGCAAAGCAGAGGACCCCGTGGCAATCAAATGAAAAGTACTTTACCCTTGTCAATCGCTACTCCTCCTTCCGCGATTTGTAACTTTTTATCATGTCAGAGGAGGCAAAAGTATCGAGTACCAAATTATCAAATCTACACAAGAAGAGGTCAATTTACCTCCCAATGTAGCATTGTAGGCCACACCAAAAGCGCATATGGAATTGTTTGCCACTGCAGCGAATAGGCCAGCCACTTCCGTACCATGACTAGAAGAAAAAAAGTTCAACATGGGAGTAGCGGTTTTCTGCTTCAAAAATAGGAAGGTTGAATGGTCTACACCCACGCATACACACCTCACTTACTTATCAACTTTATCCATCCTGGCATCAGTTCCACGAGCATCCTTCCGTGTGACGTTGACCAGATCAGCGGTGAGATTTAGCTGAATGTTAGGCAGAAGGTCGTCGTGAGTGGTGTCAAGGGCATCATCCACAATGATGCCTATGACGCCCTTGCCGGTGATGTTGGATATGTAGACCGGGTAGACGTTAAGATCGATTCCAGCATACTCGCCTGCATTTGAATTACCATCATTGAGCTAAATGAGCCAGTAGATAGTACTGAAGAGGCAAACCCACAAATTGCCACATATCACGGCTATTCGGATCGTTAAAAGTCACCGTAAATCTCATTTTCTCGGCGCGTTTCTTAACCGCTAAAATGTATTCGTCATCGTCCTAAAAAAGGAAACATATAACTTGGATATGATGCAACAAGAAGATAAGTTAAAATGATGGAATTTAAAAGATCTGCTGACCGGAAGTTCGACGACTTTGTATGGTCTTGGATGAGGATAAAAGGCTAGAGCCTTCTTTTCAACAGGGAATTGTGGCTGGTGCTCAACATATGAGACCTAGAAAGTAACCAGAAGAGTAGTTATAGTAACTGAGCTCAAAGTAAAAGTAGATGATAGTTGTCCAGAAGAGTTCTTACCCAGGGTAAGAAACGACAGGATTCGTACAGTTCGAGTAATTCATTTCCCGTGCGATCAGTCACAAAATAATGCAAATCAGGACCCATGCAATCCTTTTTTTGCAAAAAAAAATTAAGTTGACGCCAAAACTTCAAGAAAACCAAAATGTATCTTATAAGCACTAGGATATTTTCAAGGAAATTTCTTTCCAGATTAATCATTAACATGCATGAAAAAACACCCCACTGAGTTCTTAACTACGGAGAATCCAACTCCTCTAATTAAAAGGCAATTTTGTGAGAAGTAAAATGAATGGGTTGTAAACAAACGCACGCAGAAATGATAGGCGAGACTATTATCCTCAATAAATTTCTGTAACTCGTGATCTTTGGGTTCCCCTTTGATTAAAAAGTGACTCTTGTAGGAATGAGCAAGAGCCATAAGACATAGGAGTGAAAAAGCCTGAACCATTTGGTGAGAGACATGATTAAAGGACCGCATCTACGACTCAACGGATTTGTAAATGCATTTTCCTTCTAACGCTCGGTCAAGGTCAGTGGAGGCACAGAAAAAAAAACGAAGATTACTTCAATTAGCCAAACGCATAAAAGTGTTAAAAAAATTTCAACTGTGGTGAGTTTCGTAGGGTCAGATTCTTACAATACAACCAGTTTTTGTTCAAACTTGACCCTATTACACTTTTTCTCATTGGAATAACAAGAGAACCGAAACCTTTTTTCATGCCGTTTTTAGGAGGCAGCTATTAAGCATTAATTTCTAAAACTAATACAAGCATTTGCAAGTGTAAATCTAAATATAAAAAAATCAGTGCTATTGTACATAAGGTATTTCCGCAGCTTTACAAACTTATTATGCAATACTCTTTACTTAGTCATGGGATGAAATACAAGAGACTTCTGCTCAAAATTTGATCGATACGGTGAAGCAAAAAATAGGGTACTGCAAGATTACAATCTTGCAGAATGATTATTTGTAGCGTTCCGAGACCCCCCTGGAGACTGATGAAGACATAATAAATACGATGGCGGTTTTTCCCCCCGGTATTGAGGAGGCTTCACATTTGTACTTCGAACTGACCCTCTTGTACCTCCCTCGGTGGGCTGGCCCATTGGGCCATGCCAATAGCCCAGATACCTTTTCTGCGCTGAATGCATATTCTGCCCGAGTATTTTGTCATCTTTCGTCCTCAGAGAGTCTCTGGATGCTACAATAATACTCGGACAGAATATATACATTCTGCCCGGAGAAGGTATTTAGGCTACTGGCATGGTCCGAAGGCCATTTCGCCCGGCGTAGTACAAAGGCCAATTCAAAAGCCGCCCCTTGCCAATACCGAGAGATGAGCAACCGTCGTATTACCTGTTGACACGCCCAATGCAGTACGTGCGGGGGTCAGAATTTTCGTTGGCATGTTTCTACTTTACCCCAAGATATTTTGAAGTCCTCATCGGTTTAATAAAAGTCGGTGTGAAACATGAAGCACATACAATAATATTAGAGTCAATGCTAGAATCAGGGAGATCAGAAGGAGAACAATTGTGTGTTTGTTAAATAATATGTCTTCGATTGATGAAGTCGCAGGCTGCGTCTAGGGGTTCGCAGACACAAATTTCCATATTTGTGAATTCTTCTCGGTGGCCTAAGCTCTTTTCCCTGACCACGTAATTTTTGTTTTATGTCAGGATTAAATTCGTCAGTCCGTTCTATGCTCACGAATCCATAACGGGTGTGCGGAGTTACTTCCAGTTGCGAAGTTCATAACATGCAGTTACTGCATATGGATGGTGTCTACACCTTGTGCCCAGCTACTTTGTAACAAATCCAGGATAAAACGAAGTAAATAAGTGTATCAGAGCTTTTCTTCTATGCAGTAGAATATTAAGGCGGATTGTTGAAACTCCAGGATTGCATATTATGAGAGCGAACAGTGAATACCACCACACAGCATTAAAGAATTTGAACTAAGGACATTTAAAAAACGTACAAAGATTGTAGAAGGACTCAGAGTCATTGAGCCTCAAAGAATGTTTACGGAGAAAGTATTTTAGAGACTAGTTCGCAATTAGTGTTTTCTCATGAGTTTAAGGATCGTCATGCTTGGCTGCGCTGAGGCGCTAGTGAACACAAAAGAGGACGCCCATGTTTCTTTAGAACTGCTTTAATACCTGCTAGTGATAGAGGCTGTTTATAACTTTAGAAGAACGGAGAACAAAACAGGTTTCAAGGCGTGCGCTTATTTGTGCCAGAACACGTAAAATGTGGGGTAAAAGTAAGTTTGGGAAAAGTAAAACTGTCATTAACGAGGATATTTGGAAGTAGGAATTCAGAAAGCAAGAGAATGAAAGTGAAAAGATATGTTTTTATCTGCGAAGGGAGGTGCCTGATGCACACTTTGCTAGGCTGGGTAAAACTTTGTGGTGGAATGTAATGTGTGGTATAGAAATAACTCTTTTGACTTGAAGGACAACAGATCCAACTAACAGGTCAGAATGGAGGAGATTTTGCCTGCTAAGCAGTCTAAAAGGGGTGATGGTCTAGGATGAGTTCCTATGATGCATCATAATGCCAGGTTGGTACTTAGGTAACTTTATATCCCGAAAAATAGGGTGATTTTGCTATAAAAGGTACTCATCGAATATGGTTTAAGTAATTACTACTTGTCGCGTAGAGATCCGTAAAAACGGACTTTTACAAACTGCTGATTAAACTTTTTAGGAGTCTCCTATTTCACCACTTGATACAGTGCCGTTCTGAGGGATTATAGCAAGTCGACGGCAATCATCGTCAGATCTATCAGCATAAGGTTTGATTAGTTCCTTGAATCGCCCCTCCTTCTAGAGTTCCAACTTTGTAGGATTGCTGGTGTGTCAAGCCACTAAGTGACTGTCATGAGAGCCTTTGCATCGTGATACTCTTAAAGAGGAAATGTAATTCGGGATTCCAAAGTAACCAGATCTTGGGTCTCACATCTGGTAGATTTATTTCAATAAATGATTATACTCAAAATTGAGGCAATAGCTGATTGCTGAAGCCACAGCGACCTGTTTGGTTATGAAATTAAGGTCTAAATTTGCGGTGAAAGGATGCGGTTTAAGTGGGAGATCACTTCACTGTCTGTAAATTGCATTTTCGTTCCACTCTGTGGCAAAGTCCTTGGGCTAATAGCCTCACGGTCAACCCACTCGAACGGATGTAGTGAAGGCCGAACTGCGGCGCATCTGAAAAACCCAAAGGAAGAGCTAAAAAGTTTGTTATGGGTGAAATGCGAGGAAAGGTGAGGCTTAGTGACTGCATGTGGTGTCGAAGGCGGGTTGTGCACAAAGTAGGGTCAATTTTGCTAATAGTGATACATAAATGAGGACTCTATCTGCTTCTTATTGGATTATATGTACTGTGTTTCATAGTTGCCCTAGTTGCAGCGGGTTGCGCTAAAATTCTACAGCGTGGCTTTCGTGTCTAATAGTCGCTTAGCCCCTGTAAGCCCAAGTCGTGTGCAATAATTTATAGTATTTGGCTTAATATGACCTCAGGAAAGACTTGGATATTTGCTTTGGTGCAGGCTGAAAACAAACATAATTCGGAGGATTATTTATCCTGATTTCTGCGGCTGATTGCCGAATCATATCGTTAGATCTGTAAAGTGGTCATGGGTCATGATAGTATCCTTTTCAGTTCACACACTACCACTTCGGGTGGTTACGAGAACGGGTGGGGCACCACAAGTGCAATCATTTATTTCCTATTTTAAGTCCTTTTTGTTACTTTGTTAAGTGGGACTTAAAGCTGCCAAATGTATGATAATGTAGCAGGTAATTACACATTGTGGCCTTTTTTAAAGGTAGTAATTTTTAATAGGATTAAAATGAACAAGACGTTCAAACATTTATTAGTATCTCTCAACTACTGTTCAAAAAAATCAATAGAATTACAAGTTTGCGTGGACTGAGCTCCTCATTTAAATAATCCTCATTGTAAACAAGTAGGTTAAAGTGAACTAATTAATGCTGCGTAAAAGTTGTAGATCATAATACCGTGCAATGGAACATTATGGCATAAGTTAGGACGTTTTAGAGAGGACTGCAAATTACCAGAGCTAAAATTTATTTAACATATTAGGATCTATGTTTTTTATTTGAAGTTCTTCATTAATAGATATTGGACGACAGAGCATAGAAGCCAATGACGACTTTGCTATTAAACAATCACATAGTTTTGCATTTAAATACAAAATACAAAAATACAAATACAAAAACGTGTAAGGGTCTTTTTATACTGAACACTTGTAGGAGAGCTTGTTTTAAATCATAAACACATTATCTGAAGGACAACAATGTCATTAATTTCTAGGTTTTTACGATGAGTGATTCGGTCAAAAGTGCGTCGGAGAGTTCAGACGATGAGGAGTATATTCCTCCAGGTACGCGGGCTTTATTCCAGCGAAACTTCTAGCGGATTATGTGGAGGAAAGCTCCGAAGATTCAGATGACAAAATCTCAGAGTTCGTTCTGCATATTTAATCTACTAGTTGTTTAGTGGCGAAGTAGGAAAAGGGGTGAATGCCAAAATGGAAAGTAAGCTACTCAAGGAGAAGGATAGAGACGAAATATGGACTGATTTTCTCGAGAAAACTAAACCGATGGTAACTTTGCAAATTTTCACTTATGATGTTTTTTTTCCATAAAGGACCAATTAGAGCAACCCTCGTCACATAAATCCCGGTAAGTACCACATTACTTTGTTCTCTCACTAATTACAGCGTCTTTATTACCATTTTAGCATAGGCGCGAGAATATGGTTTAATGTTTACCGATTTTCCATCCTCATCTGTCACTTATTTTGGTCATTATTGCAGGGAAACTCAAGCGAAAAGTAACTCCACTCACAATTCTCTGCCTGCAGTTTCTTTCCATGGGTGTGTGACCGCAAAAATGGGGATTTTTTGTTTTTATTATATCGGTGAATTATCTTAATCTACGCCTTTCGTTTCCACTAGTGTTAAGTCCAATTCCCACAACTCATCGAACGAAAAAGTCGGTGGACTGGGTTTAAAGTGGGTTGGACATAAATTTGTGGGTCACTTTGAACCGCTTTTAGACGACCTGCATCCTCCACCGGTAATCGCTTGGCAGATGCTCTGAAAAGGCTAAAATCGTCAACCCTTTCCTCCGGTGTCCCAAAGATATCCGTTCTGGTCTGTCTAATTTTGAAATTATCATCAGACTTGCTTTTTAAAATGGCTGGAGTTTGTTTCGTTTCACTGGTTTTTGTAGGAAAAATCGAGGCAAGATTGGGAATCCTTCACTGAGAAGGAAGGCATTAAAGACGACCTCAAGCTACACAATAAGGGCAAAAACGGGTGAGTAAATTCCTCGTGTCTCAGATATTTGGGCCAAACTCTGAGCATTTGTCAGCTGTTTGTAATTAGTCACTTGATGAAAGTTTAATTTTGAACGCCTGAGCGTCTTCCCGGTTTCGAAAATTTACTCACGATTGAGTTCATCGACTACTACCCTCGGATGACACTTTTTTCCATCGAATAGAAATCTAACTTAACCGTTTTACATGAAGTCCTGGGGTTGTCAATGCATCTTTTCTGCATTTCAGAGTTTTAGATGAAATTCTCGGGGTCTGCTTTTATCCGAGATTTTTTGGAAATATAGCGAGCAAATTTTTGTACATTCCCTTAATTCTAAAATTCTGTAAGATATTTTAGTTTTGAGTGGCGTTTGAACCTGGTCTAACGAAGTGCAAAACACCTTTTCTAAGTCGGATCAACTGGCAAATCAGCTGACCTACTAGTCAAATTCTGAAGCGCAGATTTGTCTCTTGGAAAGACTGAATTAGATTTCTCAACCTGAAATTTCCCATAATTATTTGGTTACTTCTTACACTTTTTTTAAAGCGCTGCTTTCCCACTCTTAAACCATCGATAAAGTCTTTTCTCTCTTCGGAGGATCAGATTTTGCTGATCAGGCATCGAAATTGGTTGTGATACTCGCACAAGGCTCTACAACGACACGATTGTGTGAATAAGTCACCGCAAATGTGTGTGTGGGATACCCACCTCATAAAGGCATCTACTGAATCCACAGTCGACTTACTTGGAATGCACACGTTCCCTAAAAAAATATTGCAAGTTTGATGCTTGTTTCTCTACCTGACTCCTCTCCTCTGTGACAAGTCTGCTAGTCACATGCGCGGTGTCGCCTAGCCCATTCCCTCGACTGTACATTCAGGTAGACCGCTACACGCGCACTAAGCAGTTATTTGAGAGGCGATTGTTTTCTTGTGTCCCGTAAATGAGTCACCAAAAGAGCTGCGGGATTGGTGCTTTCCACTTCCACTTACCAAGTATATTTACAATTAGCTCGTCGGGCACACAAAGGCCTAACAGGGGAAGTCGCAAACGTAGCTTTAGCAGACAGTTCTCTTGTTATTCAGGTATGTCGAACGAAAGGCATTTGAAGCACGAACTCAGGAGCGGGAATATCAGATATTGAAGGAGGCTCGCCTAAAGAGTATCCAACGGCGGTGACTTCTCCTTCCCCTCTCCTTCCTCGCGTGTACACAAAATTTGTACATTTTTACCTCTCACCTCTTCACATGAGTGCAATCAGCAAACCGCGTTCCGCGGAAAAAAATAGACCTCAGACAAATCTGAAGTGCTTATTTATTAAACTGCAAAAAACTACAAATTCCTAACTGAGTTCGGGAGTGGGGTTCTCACTCGTCAGCTGGCTCGAAGGTGTAGTTATCACGACCATTGGAGGGGTATTGTTTTGGCATCTGAAAGGGAAGTTGAGACTCTCGTCACTTTAAAGTAAAGAGGAGAAGGTACTGGACAAAGCTTCCATACCATAGGACGAAAAAGTTTGTACATATCTCCAAGGTAGAAGAGAGGGAAGAGGATAAACACTGGAGCGATGAACCTAATTAGAGTTCGCCAGCGTGGTTCATTGTAACGTAGTTGCTGTTGATAATTGTCGTAGCCCATAGGGCCATAAAAATCCCAGAACCAAGGAATAGGTTCATTATAGTTCCTCTTCAAATGTCCGTAATCATAGTGTTCGTAGGGATCACGATGAAGTTCGTTGAATGGTTCTAACTTGGGATAGTCGCCGGGACAGTTCCCGTCGGGTTCGTAGGTTTCATAGTCCTCAGGCAGGAGGCCGTATTTTTTTGCCGCAGCTTCGCGCTGAGCCGGGGTGGTGGGAAAGGGTTTTGGTTTCCAGTCTGCGTGCCAGTCTGAAAACAAAGCATGGCCACTTTCAAACTGCCAGAACAGTCGACATCACTCTTCTAGGGCACAAAAAACTGCACAAGGTGCTTGAGTTAAGAAAATACAAAACCCCACTTTCTGTGGCACATGACCACGAAGTACAAAGCAAATTTGGAATGCTATTAAATCAAGATTACGTAATACTAAACAAAAGGGGTTGGAGCAAGTGAAAAATAAACCAATCAGTTACGAGGACGCCTGAAAATTCCACTTACAAGCGAAATTCTTCTGCGAAACTAGGGGCAGACTAAACCTTAACAAACCGGGGCCTCTACAAATTAGAACCATCTTGCTATTTGCACGGCTTTCATTGAACTTGAGCTAACGGTGGGTGAAATAAACAAAAACATGTCAAAATGGGTTGAATGGCACTAAATTGTAATCACGGTATTTCGTTCAAACATAAATGAACAAACTAGTGTCGCTATTTTATTTTTGCAAATGTACCAGTTTGCATTGGTCAAACTTACTGTTTCTAAATCAATTTTCCAAAAAATCCAGGCGAAAAACGCTAAGGCTTTTACGTGCCTCAATAAAATGTCTTAAAAAATTTTTAGTAAAAATTTGCAGTAACAAAGTTTAAGAGCCTTGTGGTTTAAAGAATTCAGTGGAAATTACAGAAAAATGTGTTGTAAACCTATTTTAAACCTTTTTTATGCGATACTTTATTTGATTTGTTTTAAATTTTACTCTCGATGAACGAATTTAAAAATTGCGTTTGTTATCGCGTACCGCATGCAGTTAGAGAAAATCGCCCTAATGCTAAGCCGTCAAATGCGTTTTCCATCTTAACTTTGTCTAGTCGTTGCCGTGTCTGACTGCCACTATGGCATCGTAGAGGAACGACTGTGATTTAGGAACAAAATGGGTGTTTTGCCAGTAATTTGCATTCACGAATAGGTAGTAAATCTCCGCACATTCGAATAAGTTTCAAGACATCCATTTTATCACATTTTTACGTCTTGAAAGCAATTTTTGCGGTTTGTAACACGCTCTGTATTTATTGTATTAAACCATTTTGTTTTTGACACTCCGCCTTTATAGCCTGATTATAATTTTCATTAAAGTATAATTTCTACTGTGATGTTCCATTTTGTCTTTAATACCTGTAAAACAGCACTTTAGAGGCGAAATTCTTTACCCATTTTTGAGGCTAATAGTGTTTTGATATGCACATAATTCACTAATGCACTTTACATACTTTTTGTAGCTCTTTTTGCTTTATGTTTTAATTTTTTGTACTTTTTGTTGCAAAATTCATTTATTTCTTTTATTTTTTTGTTTGGATGAAAGCTAAAGCCTTTTAAGTTTGTAGATAGATTATGTTGCCGCCTTAATGACATTTACTTTACTAAAGTGGCCTTTAATCTACTTTGTTCATCAGTCCTATAATTCTAGGCGTTCTTTATACGCTAGATGTTTTTTTACAGTATTTTTTGCCATTTTTTAATTTGATAACTTTAAGTTGCCCTTTTTACTTCTATGGCCATATTCGGACCATTTCATTACCAATAAATATGTATATAGATGCCAAAAATACTAGGAATATACCACTTCAATATAGTAATATTGTTTCACCAAAATTTGCCAAATTTATTCTCCCAACCGGATTAGCTTATTTGACCGGTAAAACCAACTCACTTTTCCTCACAGGACAAATATCCACGGGATGGCTCAACTAGTCGATTTCCACCATCGGGGCCTTCCAGTTACCCCTCTCATCCTCCTTCCTAGTGGATGGGTTTACAATTTAGAGTGGCAGACTCTGTGTCCCACGGAGGAGACGCTGTTCGATCTCCTTGACAATCAGTGTTTCAGTGCCGCTCTCCATTTCGCCATCAACCATCCCTCCCCACCGCTCAGTGACTCACTTCGACGGCCTCGCGCTGTCTCGTGGTTCAACTTAGAGGTCAATCCGGCTCTCAAAAACGATGTTGTTGCTGTAGTCATTCCCATAGTTGGTTGGAAACGAACTGACATTCTGCAACTTCTAGAAACCTGTGATAAAAACGCCAACATGGAGAGCGATTGGGATAATCCATGCTATGTGGAAATACACCAATGTATTCAAGGCTGGAGGCTAACGCAATTGCTAAATCTTCGTGTTGTTGTGGCCCTTCCATGGCCCGACTTAATACCTCATTTCGGCAAGCAAAATCCACCCAAAATTGAAAGTGCCTTTATGGATTTAAGAAGCTTTGCTAAAAGAGGAATCCCTGTAAGTTTTGCTGAATTTTCGACTAAATTTTTGAGTTTAGAGGAGATTGCATATACATTGTAATTTATTCTAAGGTAACTGTCCTGCCAAATATGTTTGAAGAGGCAACGAGAGAATTGCTGCTAACTCTGCTAATCCTGACACTAAAAGGCTACGGCCGAGGTGGGCTTACAACTTTGAAATTGCTTTACCATAATAACGCTAATATCCCATTTGTCTTTGAAAGAGAGGATTTGACTACCAATGGTGGGATGAACAAGGCATTATTCTGCTATGAAAAATAGACGCACGATCAAGGCATCAGGCGAATCCTTTCACGATGGATGCTTTCCTGCTTAATAATCAAACTGATGCGGGACTAAGGAACTAAACAAGGCGCTTGTTCAAACATTTTTAGATAAACTTTATAAGTTTAGGTAATGTGGCTGTGGATTGTGCTACTGTTCTGCCAATCGGTGGCGTTTGACTAATGTCTGGTAAAATTTGACTTTGAAGGATTTGTCAACATGGCTGAGCGTCATCAGGATGATCTTCTTAATCATTACTGCTTTGGTGTTAAGTGTCAGGGTATCAGAGTTTCGTCGCATGCAATAAATAAACACCTTTACGCTGGTTAAAAGCGAAATCTGAGTTTTCGCCCCTTCTTGGCTTTAAATTTCAGAAGTTCCAGTGCCTCTGGTAAATTTCTTCCAATATGACCTACATTTACCATCTCCACTTCCTCCGCCTCCTCCTCCTCCTTCCCCTCCACTAACATCAGCAAAGTCAACGTCAGCCCCTGTTCTTCAGCTTCCCAGACGTCCAGCAAATATGTCACAATCATTGACTCAAAACCGAAATGCTTTTTCTCCACCCGCTGCACTATCTACGACAGCTCCACCAACGAGTCTCACCCTCGCAACCCATCCTACGGAGCGTTATGGTTTCCGACCTTCCAATTGGATATGCCTATCAGGGCCTTATGGAAGTCCTCAGTTGTGCCAGAAATCGCTCCGGGAGGTTGTTGTAGGATTTCTGGGTCTGATAACGGACTCTGCGAGAGAGATGGCATTTCTACTTAAAAACGGATTTGGCATGAGGGTGATGTACCATCAGAGACATCCGCTGTCAGTATTTATTGTTTTGTTTGCTACTTATTCCGTAATAAGTAGGTCAACATTATATATTTCTAGTCATCTATTCTAAACAGTTTGGTAGATTCAGCCATTCCAGATACACCTATCTTGGGTCTAGCCACAGGTTAATGGTCCACTTAGAGCTTCTAAATAGACTGACACATCTCGCAAATTATCGATATATTTTTTATGGTTATCGTCCCTTTGCCTAACGTAGCTGGGATTTCAATCCATTCACCATGTTTTGCTCACCCTAGACTCATTCACTTCATTGGATGTTTCCCTATTTCAGACCTATTTTATTATCCTTGCACCATCTATCTGTTGATTTTTTAACAAGGATTCACTTATCAATGCCTGAATGCTACTCGGTTCCACCATAAATCGACACGCTCACCCGGTTGTTTGTTTAGTCTTCAAACTCCAAACTCGTTTTTTCCAAGTAATCATGTCCACCCACCACTAATCCATCCTTTTAGCCATTTTTACTCATCCATGACATTTTCAAACATACTTGGTCAATTTAATTACCTTCACACCCGTTGTAAAGTCATTTCATTTTTGTCCTACCCACTCTATATGTGCCCATTATATCAGGTCCATCCATCCATTCATTCATCCACCTGTCAGAGTTATATCCTTTTATCCATCACTATATCTGTCCTTTATCTACCCACTTATTATGGTTACGTCCTAGATCCACTCACAAATCAATTCTGAGTTAATTATTTCGTTCTCTTTGGGTCCTTTTATGGACCTCCTATCCACCTGTTCATTGATCTATCCGGAACTAATTGTGGAGTGTTGTACATCTCTAGAACGTTGACTTTTATCACCTTTTGTACTAAAATCATTTTTCCTAATATCATATCTAGCATTGGTAGGAACTGCTTTGAAAAAGCCTTCCGCAAATGACATATCCACCCGCTCTTTTAATCAGACAGGACACCTTTTCATATTTATTGCCCTAACATTTCTCTGCTAACTTACCTTGGACTCATACATCCAGATCCATCCGACTTCGTTTTATCAAACCTAAGTCAGTCTAGTTGTTCTAAAATCAGTCAATTATTTTATCACCCGAGCACTTTCAAATCCATTCATCCTAGATTTGTTAAACTGATTATCAAATCACACATTTAATCATTCTCACTGATTCGTCCTGGATCTATTAAACTAATACAAGTTCATTATGAGTCGAGGAAATCAATCACTTATTTCACATTCACAGACTCAAGGTATGGTTCGTCTATTCCTTCAGGACCTCTTCATATCCTATTGCTTAGCCACTCATTTAACGCCTTATTTGTTAATTCTTAAGAAAAATCCACCGACCCTCCTTAAAACACCACAAGTGTGACTAATTTCCATTATTTGTCATAGATCGGGCATCACTGGAATCGATTTTGAGCCTAAAATGCCAACCTTCCTACAAAACAGTGACGTCGTAATCATCATGGACGACTGCAGCGATCGCCGAGCCTCTCTCTCCAAAGCCCTTAGGTCACGGTCCCCTATTCGTCAAAAATCCACCAAACGCTCCAGATTCATTCTTCAAGAGGAGGACTTCCGTTACTTCAAACCCACAGGCATCTTCATTTCAACCTCTCCTGTTGAAAATTTTAGTTTCGCCGCTCTTGCTATGGCTCTGCGTAATCAGACCCTTTCTGGTGCTGCTTTTACCATTCCTATGGATGGAAGTCTATCCTCAGACGAGCTGCAACCCCTCCATCATATGAAGAACGTTTTAGCCGTACCGCCACCATCGACAGCGGGTTTCGGACCCAAATTATTGCGTCGTCAACTAGCAGGTCTCGTTCTGCAAACCATTTCAGAAGGTCTTGGTCTGCCATTTCTCGGATCCATTGAACTTGCACCTCCAAGTGATTTGGAAAGGAATTTCAGCCATTCAGCTTCAAAAAAACCAAAGAGTAAAGGATTTTCAAGTCTAACAGCTAAATTTTGGAGCGTTTTCCGCAGTGGACAAAGTGAAAGAGAGCGTAGACAGAAAAGGAATCAATCTGTGTCCGTGAGATGAGGAAAATCATAACAATGTAACAGAACTGATGGCCCTATTTGCCATTGTATGCAGAAGTGCAATAAATGTGCTTAAATCTGCCTCATTTTTAAGGAGTTAGACTTAAAATTTTTTGGCGCCTTTATTGCTATGAAGGCTTCCAAATGGTCACATTTTTGGCGTTTTAGGTCCGAGCTCCCCGAGTAGAGGAGCCAGGTGAGAGGAACAGACGTTGGCATAAACTCCCCTTCGTTACTCATTAACAAAGAAGCTGCCACCTGGATATCCGGGGAGTTGGACATCTATTACATCGGCTCGTTGGTCTTCAAACTTTTTATCTGACTGGGGGAGAGCGCTCACCTTGCCACAGTAACCATCGTTTGACAGAAGGTTGTTCTCCCCTGTTTGGTCCTCATTATTCATAAATATCTTCGTCAAATTAGCTTAAAAGCAATAATTTGTATTAAGCCTATACGCAACATGACTAGGTGTCGATAATTTCTTACCTTGTTTAGGTAGTAAAAATCTCGACCTAATTGTACTACTTATTAGTAGGAGGTTATTTAAGCGACCCCATGAGACCAGACATTTACTTGGCACTAATGGAGTCGCCAAAGTAAACGACTATTAGAGTCTGCATGTTTATTGGCCTGATGTGTCAAGAATTGTTGCCATTTCTTGCTTTTGTAAATCTGTTATTCAACTGGTTAGACGTTTGAGAAATAAAAACTCAGGCAAAAAACTACGTCGTCACATGCCTGTGACTCTAGTGGAGAACGTGTTTAAAGATTGTGTGGTTAGTAGGCACTACTTTTTCCCCTTTATTATGGTAAACATACGACAAATTTATGAGCTGAGAAGTACAAGGGATATAAAAAAGGTGCAAATCTAGGATACAGATAAATTAGTGGGTGACTTTTATGCACGTCTTGTATCGGGGCGTCGAAGGTAAATCAAACACATTCAAAAAGATACATTCGGGGTCCACACATCCAAAGTTCACTGATTTAACAATTGCCTTGTGTGTAGATGATTCGTTATAGCGCCTAGTGCAATCAGTGTTTGCCGAGTTGTAGGATCTGTCCCCAAAATCGAGACCCTCTATTGCAAATAAAGCCTAGAAAATGACTGAAAACTAGATGTTCCTATTGTCAAATTCTAAAAAATCCTTTTTTAGACATGGTATGGCTTGGGACACTAATCTTTTTATTTTACTATGCTTCCGTCCGCATAAAATTAATCTATCACTTGTCCACGCATCTATCCATCCATCCATCCACCCATCGACCTGAATCACGTATTTTGCCTTACTGTGAAGATCTTGAATCACAATTTTTTCTATCTTTTTTATTCACGTTTTTCATCTACCCATTCATTTTTATATTTACTGTTTTTTTAAGAGATGTTCTGCTACATTTGCCGACTGATAAGAGCATAAACCTTAAATTGTTCTTAATATCTACTGACGTGGACATGCAGGTATTACTGCATTAATTCAAAAAGGCTACAAAAACATTTGCATACTAATAACTCTTTGGAATACCCATCAGTGCAAAAGGTACTCCTTTCTCACCGTGATGCCAATTTATGCCTCTAGAGGAGAACAAGTAATCACTCTCCAATCCGCTTCCCACGATCATATTTCATCCGTCCATTCTCTTTCCCATGCAATTATATGGTTTTAAATGTCACAAAAATGTGACAGTCATTACAAGGTCTGAGAAATATGGAAGGGAATGCAAAGAAAGAAGGATGAGAGCGTCTCTCTCTCTCCCTCTCCCATCCAAACTGAACTGTGCATTTTTTAATGGAGACTTTTGTTAATGCAATGTGAAGGATCGTGTCTGGTTTTTCTATTTTTAGAAAAACACTTTTCTCCAGCGGATTTGACTAATCCTAGGTACTTATCAAAGACGAGGTATTTTCCGCATACTGTCCAATTGTGTTGAACAAATGAAAGTCTCTGATGGCGAACACTGCAATGTACCCAAAAGCTATTTTTTAATCACATCTAAGCCAGTTAGTCATTCAGTCTGCCCATATAATTATTTGCTTCAATTAAGAATGGCTAAGCTTCCCTCCTCGCTGTGCTGTCACACCCATCTTTGAGTATTTCATCATGGCGGAACCGATTTACTTGCTTAAACCATTCTTGGATGAAATTTTCGCTACAGCACCTTCTCTAAATGGTGGAGAATAAGTTAGAGAAGAGGCCTCTGCGGGTTCACAAACCCAATAGTCTCTACTCACTTTTACTAGGTTCAACCACTGTCCTATGAAATGAAGGTAATTTCATCAAGACCTAACAAAAGCCACGTAAACTTTTTTGGTCATTTGTTAACTTCCTGTCTCGGGTAGAACCTCACAGCATTCCAAGGTTGCTATGTTCAAGGTTCGAAATTTTCACAGTTATTGTTAAATTTATTTATAGCAAAAATTTATGGTATAGAATAACCCTTTCTGTGTTCCAAAATACTGAACATATTCTTTCCCAGCGTCACATATACGTGACGCCAGTGCTTTCTCACTTGAGCTCGCGCATCGCATATGTGTGCAGCAGTTAATTGAGTGCAGCTTGTATTTCATCAAAAAAAAACCAAAGTTGTTGTTTTGTACCAATAACTCACTGTGCTTTAATAGCGATGAAATTTCCTTCTATGGCGCCCCATTTCAAATCCACCCCTTACATGGAATCCAAACCACTTCCATTCGCAACACCTATTTGTCAGAATTGAAACTTCTTGACGCTAAGTGCAAGATACTGAGTTGGATTTCAGTGGCTTAACTCACTTTTGGACAGGAAAAAAGGACAGATATGAAGGAGTTGAATTTTGCCAATTCCATAAAGGAGAGATGTGAGGCCATGGCAACGTACGTCTTGCCACTCAAACGGAACTTTGATAGACATCATAGCGATTGAAGATCACGGATGGTTAAGGCGCGATTTGAAACGAATTAAATCACACAGTGTGATTTTTCTACAATAGCGAACTTAATAACATCTCTAATAAATTTGCGGTAAATTGGGTTCTCTTATTACTTTTCATGAAATGAACTACTGCAACCAACAATTGCCCCTGCTACTGAGCCCATGAATGTCATGACAACTGCACGCATTAATAGGTACTACATGGTTTTCATAATTATTGCACTTTTTATGCTATCGAATTCCATTCTTCCTTTTATTAACCTCCGTCTCTTTCTCTCTCCGCCTGGCTGACGTTGGAAAGTTGCCTCTTTCAGACAGTCGGGCAGCCCTGAACACTATCATCGAACCAATAAGAAGCGTCGGCAAAATGACAAGCCTGGACAAGCCATTAAGGGTGGCGATGGCAGCGGCAGCGGCAGCGGCGGCAGTAATGGTGTTTCGGTGACAGTTTTGACATTCGACGGAGGGGAGAGTAAGACAGAGAAGAGAAAGTGGTAGTGGACTAAAGGATTAAAAGGCAAAGGGCTTGCTCCTCTCATCATTTTTTTTTCGGCAAGTATTAGTTAATTGCATTTGGAGAGTTTCGAAAAGGAGTAGGAGCTTAAGTGAAGGGAATCCGATGAATTAGCAGTCATTTTAATGGTGGTTAAATAGCTTTTTTAAAAGGAGGGAATGTATATGCAAGAAATTTATGGAAAAAAAGTTGGGGTTTAATTATGAGTAGCACCAGGAGGTTAAAATATTTTAAGGGGGAATCTTACTACAGATAGCGTTGCGCAGTAAAGCAGAGATATGCATCAGTCAATTGGCATGGTACATCTCATGGTGTTCTAGCTCTCTTATTTCCTACTACTCGGTTTCCTTATACCAGTAGGTGGCGGTTGAACACAATGCAGGCAAAGAAAAATCACCTTCTGCAAGAATTCCCTTTAATCGGCCTAGAACAGTGCAACAGCTTCTCCTCTGGTTCAACGCAAAGTATTTAAACTAGGTGGCTATTTGCTCGGAGGCAGGCTGTTTGTCACATTAGGGAGGAAGGCCCTTACCTTGAACAGAACAGGCCGGAAGAGAATAAAAAAGAAGGGAACAAAAAAAAGAACGGAATGTGCCTGTTGGTCAAACCGCCTTCAGAGCAACGTGTGGAGAGTAATTCGCAACAGTGCCTCAATTGAGTGCTGATGTCAGCTGCATCAGCAGAAAAGGTCGTGAGTGTCATTCTCAGCAGACGCCCCCCCCCCCATCCACTACGAGCTGACAGTGTGTCTGGAAGATGGTAAGTCTGTTCTACACTTCTTTTGCTTTCACTATCACAACACACCGTGCACTCGCCACTGCCCCATGGCCAGCTGACTGGCTGGCAGGCTGACAGCTTGACTAACCTATGATGCAAAATGCCACTCTCGTGTGTTTGGCAACACTCGGTCGAAACCAACGCATCACGTCATGCCTTATCAAACCACACACCACAACACATCATCGGTTATCCTCACATGACCCATCCTCCCTCCACTCCACACCTCCACACCACACAGCACTTCATCCTACATCACCGTGCACGCTTTGTGTGTGTGTGCATGTGTGAGTGTGGTGCACTGGCGATGCAATTGTTCTTGTACTGGTGACCAATGCAAAAGGGCCGCGATCAGTCCCCTCCATTGTATTCCATGCAACTTAAGGGTGTGCAGGTACTGCTCCTCCCTAAGAATGGTCCACGATTCATCGAACCGTTGACAATGGGTGCTTAGGCAGGACACGAGGGTGAGATGGATGACTGGAGAGATGGCGAGACCCACGGAAGGAGGGAGGGATGGAGGGAGAGAGGGAGGGAGTGGGATTGGGAAAAGAGGAGAAACATTGCACCCCCCCTACTCCTCCCCATTTTCATTTCTGCTGCACGCAATCATCTCCATTCATTGGCATTTGCATTGCCTCACTACACAATCACATGAGAGGTAGAATGGACAGTGGGGAAGTAAACATGAGACTCTGCTATTTACTTCGAGTTACAACGCATCATTCCTGTGTCTCCCAGTTGGAAAACATTTTAAATAACACGCTCTGATGTTTGTTATTTTTAAGATTGTTATTAGCATGGTAAGGAGCCTCCTGCGGATACTCAAGTTTGCTTCAAAAAAAGACTAATTGAAGCTCCAGCATGTGCTAAAATTCCATTCCTTCACCAATAAATACGTTGGAAGCCGTCGAAATTTTCCTAAGGCATCACAGTAGCATAGAAGCAATATATTAGAAATAAAGCCAGAAGAGCAACATAGTGACATTTCCCAATCAGTGTTAGTTGAAGACCAAGTTTTCTACTAAAGATGAGGTTGTTCTCGTCAAAGCCGCGTTGATGAGCCCAATGGCTACTGTGGATGCTATGATGGTCCTCGTAGAAGTGAAAAAACAGCTGAAATAGCGATGAAAGCATTACTATTCCAATTTTTTCCACTTTTCAGCACCATTTATCTACAGATGTTCTCTGTGCAGACAGCACTTTTCCAAAAATTCATTAATTCATAAGTGAGTGGATAAGTGAAGAAGTAAAAACCACTCACATTTAATTTAGTAAAGGTCAGGGGGCCGCGGATGAAATGTCTGAGGAGAAAATTTATCCGCGTGAAAAGAAAATTTTCCTAGTGAAAAGGTCCCACCGCTCAGTGCAAATGCCACCTTGTCAGTAAATTTTGTTTCCACCTGCGAAGTAAGCAAGAATTTGGAACAAACTGCATTCAAAACTCCCTAATTTTTCAGATTTTACAGATTTGATAAGTGTGTAAAAATCTAGGCAAATAGTGGAAATTGAACAAATTCTACCGATGTATTTAAAAACAAAGCATTTTGCCTATATTTCTATTAAAAAAAGTTGGGAAACCTTTCAGTAGAAGGGAATCCATTTTAAGAAGCAGTTAACAAAAAGCCCTCTGACAAAAAGACTAACAGCTTCTGAGACCCATAAATTCTCTAACAATTAGCACTAAAAAAGCAGATTATGGAATCATTAAAGGTGCATTTAAAAAGCGTACAATAGTTTAAAGGCTACGATAATATATTCACAGAAAGAGGGATTGATGGAGGAAGGCTAATACTGGTTTCTGAGGTGAGAATACGACAAAAGTTGCGGATTCAATTTGAGTACACCATGAACGCATGGATGGATGGATTAACCTAGGAAAGGGAAGTAGATGTGAAATGCGAGGATTAGGTCTAACTGCCTCGATGATAGACGCGTTGGCGTATGGAGATGGTGGACAAATTCTTGATTCTTAAATGAATTAACTTTTTATGGTAAGGCGGCCGGGTGGAAAATTTAGCGTGAGAGTGTAAAATCAGTTCATTTAAGTGATTCCAAATGTTAGCTTACCATTTTTTTGTAGCAAACCAGAGTAGCTGTAGGAAGCTCTTTACCATGCTCAAAACAACCGTGGAAATAACAAACATTAGAGTGTGTTATTTAAAATATTTTCCCACTGGGAGACACAGAAATGATGCGTTGTGTCTAGAAGGGAATAACACAGTCCACGTTAACGCCTATTCT